CCCCCCCCGCCCCCCCGAGGCCGCGGGCCCTGCAATGATTTGGTTGCGAAGCACGTCGGTTATTTATCCTTCCCCCTCCCCGCTGACCCCCTTGAGCTGATTTCCTTCCCCCCGTCTCTGACGCGATTTATCTGCAAGCTCCTTATTGCAGGAAAAACAACGGCAACGTCCCAGTTCTTCCAAAGCCACCGAGGGTCGGCTCCCCTTCTTCCCTGCCAGGCATGCGGCAAGATTAGCGCCCGGGCGCGCGTCGTCCTGGATATTTATCCTTCCCCCTCCCCGCTGACCCCCTTGAGCTGATTTCCTTCCCCCCGTCTCTGACGCGATTTATCTGCAAGCTCCTTATTGCAGGAAAAACAACGGCAACGTCCCAGTTCTTCCAAAGCCACCGAGGGTCGGCTCCCCTTCTTCCCTGCCAGGCATGCGGCAAGATTAGCGCCCGGGCGCGCGTCGTCCTGGACACCGGAAAGCTCAACGTTTTGCATCCGCGCCGGGGGCTCCGGCCCCCAGCTCCTGCCTCCGCCTTTGCGAGCTGTCTGAAGAACGGAATGGAGTCTGCTAGTCGGGGGGGCTTTGAGTGCAAGAAATGTCCATGGAAATGACGCCGCTCCCCCGCCCTGGCGGCTGTTCTTCGAGCAGAAAGAGGAAAACGCAAATCGGTCCGAGCTCTGGGCGCACGGAGATGGACTCCCGGGTTTTCCCCTCTGCGGCCAGTCCAGATAGGAGTCTGGTGAGACAGCCCGGGGGCTAGCCTACCTCCCCCTCCACGTGCGCTGTCTCCACGTGGCCTGCGTCCCCAGCGCCCTCTGTCCGGGTGTACCTGGGCTGGCCCCTCTGTTCCTCCCACACCTGGGCCTCCTCGCCAGCGCCCGCCTGACCTCCCCCTCCGTCCCCAGCCGGGCCAAAGGGACGAGGAGCTCTGCCAGGGTGGCCCATGCGCTAGATCTCCCACCCTCTGGCAGACGGGAGGGGCCAGCCCCTCGCAGGCCACCCTGGACTTCAGGGAGGGGAGAAGCTTGTGAGCTCATCCAGCCCCTCCCCGGCTTGCCAGGGCAGCTGG